AAATAAAAAATACTTAATTTTATTTTTAAATAGCTATTTGTTTTGCACTAATTTACTTTCTGAGGTAAACTGTGCTTTAAAATTAGGAATATAAACTGTCGGTTATTCCTGCATTTTCTAAAACCGTTATTCTTACAAATAATTTATATTTGTTACGTATAATGGGTATTTCTGTGTTACTTATATTTAAAAATCTAAGTCGTGTGACGAAAAAAATAACGGTGATGTATTGAATGCTTATTTGTGATAACTCAGCGTTAAATTGTATTAAATGTATTGAAATGTTCATGGGCGTACGCAGAGCATAATTAAAGGGGGGAGGGGGTCTGAGATTTTTTTAATGTAAATTTTATTAGAAATGATAAAATATAGCTATTAAAAATTTATAGTAATTTATCTCATTAATTTTTCTCTTTTTAACCGACTTCAAAAAGGAGAAGGTTATCAATTCACGGGAATATTTTTTAATGTATGTTACCGGATAACTTTGGACTACATTAACCGGTTTTGATAATTCTTTTTCTGGTGCCTCAGGGGAGGTCCCATACTAATTTGGTTTAGATCCGATCATTTGATCATGAAGAAATTAACGGAACTTGTAAATTTTTATATGAGAATTGAAGTCCATTGTGTTCTTTGTTTAAAAATTACTTGTTAGCGTAACAATTGAGCTGTATCGAGCCCTGCAAAGGAATTTATATTGCATAAAGTTTATTATGAACTTATTGAAGAGTTAAAATACAAATTTGATCGTTACCTTAATTGTATGGAAATTTTAAAATGCGACTTCTTTACACCAAAATCGTAATTTATTCATCATTAGGCATGTTTTATTCACCCATCACAAGCAAATAGCTAAATCTTGGTCAAATAAAACGAAATTAGCTTATTTCCTATGTTAGCCTAATTTTTACAGTTGTTTGACTGCAAATAGTGTCAAAGTAAGTTTTTGCATCTTTCTGATTGGCTGAAGGAGAAAATTTCTGATGCTGAATGGCAATGGCTCTTGTTCAATATACAAGCCAAGATAGCTTTTCATAAGCCAATATAATTATGTTGGGTAAGTCCTCCATACAAAATAAGCTAATAGCCTAAATTTCTGGACAAATAAAACACGGCTATTGTTAACCGACCTCAAAAAAAGGAGGGTATCTATTCGCCGGAATATTTTTTTATGTACATATGTTACCGCATAACCGATTTCGATAATTCCTTTTTAAAGGAAAGGTGGTACCTCAGAGGTGGTCCCATCCTAATTTTGTTTAGATCCGATTATTGTATTATGAAGAAATTAACGGTAATTTTAAAGTTTCACATGAGAATGGAAGACGGTTTTGTTTTTTGCTAAAAAATTAGGTACTTGTTTATTTAAAAATGCAAATCCATAAATTGTTTCAGTGATGATTTAATTTTTGTTTTTTCCACAAAACTTCTGTGAACGCTGAGCATACCTAAACATAAATTCAAGTACAAACTAAGAGAAAATATTAAAAGATAATAGTAATTTCACCTTTTTTTAAGTAAATGACTGTTTATCAGACTAACAAAAGTTAGCTGAAAAGGACGTTCACAGTTGATAAAATTATCGAGGAACAACCAGCAGTTTACCAAAACTACCGAAATGGATGTGAAGACACCCAAAGTTTTAATTTATTGCATATATTTTGTGAATTGGTAATTGAATATGAATTACGAAAATTAATTAATTAAATTCAATTAAAATTAAAAATATTGGAAATTAAAAAAACTCAGTGCTTAACTAACTACACATTTTGGGTGCGTAGTGATAGGTATATTTAAGTATACAGTATCGGACATATCAATAGCACCCCCATTTCAAAGCGAGATTGTTTACCACTTTTGTTTTTTTTTTTTAAATCTGATTAAAAGATCGAACATTTTGTTGAAAAATCGTTGATTTTTCCTTCGTTTTGTATAAAGCTTGAAACTGGATTTATATGATTTTGTCTTAAGCATGATCAATTGTTTTATAAAATAATAACCAAACAAATATTATATCTCTCAATATATTGTGAATACTTAAAAATAAAATAGTGGACGGAGACTTTTGCAGTTAAGTGTAGCTTAACTAAATTTTATGGTTATATTTTTCATTGGAAATATTTTAGCCGTTGCCCCATAAACTAGGGAATTACATATTAAATAAACGAACACAGTTTGCTATTAGCAGGGTTAGCATTTTAAGGCATTTGCCTATTTTCTCTGCTTAGTTGTATCTGTAAACAAATTAAATAATCACACGTTTCATGTCTTTCTTCATTAGAAATTTATATTTTAATTTTGCGTTTTTTGACTATATTGCCTTTTTCTGCCTTTTCTGCATGTTTTGCCTTTTTATACCCGAGCGCACTTATGCACAAGGTTATATTAACTTTGTTCACATAACGGTTGTTTGTAACAGCCAAAACGAATCGAGATAGATATATATAAATGTATACATATATGCTCAGAATGAATAGAGAAGTCGATTAAGCCATGTCTGCCTGTCCGTCTGTCCGCGTACACGATAACTCGAGCAAAAATTGAGATTTCTCAACGAAATTTGGTATGTGTACTTCTTTTCGGCGAAGGAAGGATGGTATTGAAAATGGGCAAAATCGGACAATAGCCACGCTTACCTCCCATATAACGGTAGTTTTCAGAAATACGAAAACTGCGATATTTTAGTAACTATTGAAGCTTATTCACTCAAAATTGAAATTTAAAAACATTTTTAGGCTAAAAATAAGAACATTATGACTTGTGATTACACGTGTAAATCCTGGGAACCGCTCCACCAATCTCTCCCAAGCTTGGCACGGTTGTTGGTCTTGGTACAGCATACCAAATACCTGAAAATTTTTAAAATCGGACAATAAATACGCCCACATCCCATATAACGGTAATTTAGAGAAATATTAAATCTTCGATAAATCAGTAAATACCAAAGCTAATTTATTCAAAATTGATAATTCTTTGGCACAAAATACGTTTATGATAAAATTTTGGAAAATGGGCGTGGCACCGCCCACTGATGATCACATATATGTATCTCGGTAACCGTTTGACCAATATATACGGTATGGTTATTGTGCTTGCCACATAAAAGCAAAACGCTAAAAATTATTGAAATCGGACTAAACTAACACCCACTTTTTATGTATCGATAAATTGCAGAAATGCTTGAAACTTCGATATTTCGAAATTTAAGGACGCTAATGTACACAAAAATGATACAAACCACAATCCCTTGAAAAGAAGTAGCATTATTATGGAATTTTGGAAAATGGGCGTGATACCGCCCACATATAACTATATAAGTTTTTCGAAGATGTTTGAAGTAGGGATGCAGCCTGTATACCATGTAGCGGTAGTTTTCGGAAAGGTGAAAAAATTTGATACTTTCGCCGGGTATCCAATGTTCGGCTCCGCCCGAACTTAAACTTTTTTACTTGTTAATATTTATCTCTTCATAGAAGTTCGCTGTATTGTACCAATTGTGTGATTATAAAAAAATTGTCGTCCCAATTTTTTTTTATTTTGTACCCACAAAAAAAATTCAACAAAATTTCGTATAAATTTCGAGATTTTTCAATTAGATTTCATAGAAAGATTCTGAGTATGTAGTTTTGTAGCCCATTTAATTCTAGTAGAATAAATTACAAGTTTCAAATGGGCATAATTTTTGGTTCATTTTTTAGAATTTTTAAAACAGCTCAAAATTTTTACGAAAGTTTTTGAATATTGTAAAAATCTGGAAACTTGGATTTAAAAGGGTTTTGTTAAAGAATGAACTATATTTTTATAAAAATAACCAAAATTAAATAGCAACAAAAATAATATGTTAAAACTTAGCAAAAAGCGGTGCGGCTATAATTTTTTGACCACTGTATGTATTTTTTTATATATTTAGTTGGATACATACATATACATATCTACATTGTACTAAAAGTATGTATAAAACAAAATTAAAAAATGTATGCATTTTTCCCCTTTTTTGAAAGCTCATTTTACCTTTTTTCAAGTTTTTGGTGCCTTAAAATCCTAACCCTAGCTATTAGTTTTTGGGTCTAAGAAAATCGAAAAAATATAGTATGGTATATTTTTGTATCTTTTGTCAGCTTACATATGAGCAGGACGAGTACCATTGATGACAGCGCAACTAGCACCACATGAGTTTCAACCGTCCAGCTCTGAAATTTGTAGGGCAGAACTAGCGCTTTGCCAGACTGTCTCTAAATAATTGCTGCAGGGTTGTAATAGAAATAAAAGAAATTGTAATAGAAATGAGTGAACAACGATTCGTATGAATAAAAATATTTTCCGTCAGTTTCCAGGGCAGTTAAAAATGCGTATAATTTTCATTACGAAATTGATATCATAAATTTTGTGTTTCTAGTTCAGCTTGTGTCACTCGATAATGTTACCTCAAACAGGTGTTTTATTGCTTCCATTTTTATTTTATGCTTTCCATGAAACTCTGAAATAATGTTGCTATTGGTACCACTGCAATTGACACAGACAACATGCAAAACTGGGCTGGGCATATAAGGGCCGTTTTCTCAAGTAACCTGTAACTTTAAAGCTCCCTTTATATTTAAAGGTTGCATTAAAATATATGATTGTGTCTAAAGTAAAGAATTTTATTATCGGTTTTAAATTGGTTTACAACCAAGAAACATACATACGTCATACCGATAATAGAAATGCTTAACTTTAGAAATAACTTTATTTTGAAACCAACCTTTAAACATAAAGTTATATTAAAAGGTAAAGGTTACTTCAGAAAACGGCCCTAAGAAATGCAAAAACTAAACTCAACAGACAAAACTAGTTAGCTTAATTGAAGGAAACAGACATAATATTTGTTGCTAGATAAATTGTTAGAATTTAGAAGGTTTCAAGCTGATGTCGAATTAACGAGTTAGTGAAAGAAAAATGTTATGTACCATGTGAATTTAATTTTTTAATGTAACTTTTAAATTATTTAAAAATTTCAGCACATATATTAAAAACATACCGACGCAATCGTTCACGATATCAGACGTATCTGTATCTTTCACCATTGAAAATTATCGTGTTTACACTAATTGGATTTAGCTTCCATGGCCAACATATCACAGATTATTTCTCATCTTTTATGAATGCCTGGCAACCCCATGACATAATAATTCAACGAGGAGAGGTGAGTACATATATTTTGCTTTGCTGCCTTTATGCTTAGCGATACTGCCTTAAAAATTGCGCAACTATTATCAATTATCAAAGAAAGTATTACGTTTACCTACACTGGCTCTACACTTACCCTAATTTCACAAGCTTTTATTTATTTTGCTCATCTCGCAGAACAACGAAATCGGGTATCGTTTTATGTAGTTGTATAGATAATAAGATACCATTCGGAAAAAATTTCGCTTGCAGTTATTTCTACGTGGTACGTGCTCTTCCATTATTTGCTTTCATAGGGATTCGGATACCTTCCTCATTGAAGTAGTAAAGAAAATTCGCTTAAGTGCTTTTTTCGGTTAAGCGCACAAGTTTTTCGTGCAAAGAAGGATGTGCAGCTAAGCAATAAACTACTATTTTTTTTGTTTGCTGGGTTGGAGCTGCTACTATTTTTTATACCCGAGCGCACTTGTGCACAAGGGTATTATAACTTTGTTCACATAACGGTTGTTTGTAACAGGCAAAACGAATCGAGATAGATATAGACAAATGTATACATAAATGATCAGAATGAAAAGAGAAATCGATTAAGCGGTGACTGTCTGTCCGTCCGTCTGTCCGTCCGTCTGTGCACACGATAACTCGAGTAATAATTGAGATATCTTAACGAAACTTGGTATGTGAACTTCCTTCCGGCGTAGGACGGATGGTATTGAAAATGGGCAAAATCGGACAATAACCACGCCTATGGGAGGTCATTTTCCGAAATACGAAAACTGCGATATTTTAGTAACTACTGAAGATTATTCACTCAAAATTGATATTTACAACAATTTTTAGACAAAACCTAAGAATATTATAAATTTTTGGAAAATGGGCGTAGCCACGCCCACTTATGGTTACATGTGTATATCTTGGTAACCGCTGCACCAATTTCTTCCAAACTTGGCACAGTTGTTAGTCTTACTACAGCATACAAAATGGCCAAAAAGTTTTAAAATCGGACAATAACCACGCCTACCTCCCATATAACGGTAATTTGGAGAAATACGAAATCTTGATAAATTAATAAATATTAAAGCTAATTTATTCA